TTTATTCTTACTTGTAACAATAGGTATAAAATATCTAAGAGCTTCACAGTATAAATGAAATGCTTCTTTTAAATTTTTCTCTGCATCCATTTTCACAGCGTTCTGAACTAACTCTATTGCCTTATCATAATTTTCCTTTGTTGGCGCGTGAGCCAAATCCAGAAAATCATGACCGAAAAATTCATCGAACGTTATTCTCTTGTCAGGATCATGCTTCAATAAGGACATCAATAAATCCTTGCATTCATGTGACACGTGCGAACCTTTCGGTAACTATGGTTTCATGATATTAAGTCACAATTAAGAGAAAGGAATAAATAATTTTCAAATACAAAAAAAACTTTAAATAAAAAAGAATAAAAATTTTATAAAAAAAATTAAGAAATCAAAAATAAAATTAAATAATTTTTAAAAAAATTTATTAATATATTTATTAATAAAAGTACTATTGCGACATAAAAAATTTTTTTAAAGAAACTATTTTTTTTTAATTTTTCTTTTCATTTTTAATTATTATAATGTATATAATTATTAATGTATATAATTAATATGTATTATAATTTTTTATAAATTTTTTATAATTTTTTTCAAAAATATTTATTTTTTTAAATTATTGCAAAATCTATCAATTAATAAATCAATGAAATAAAATATATCTAATTTTCCTTTAATTAATTCATCTTTTACATATACAATACATACATATATAATAGATATAAAAAGTATATTAAAAATTTTTAATTTTATATTTGTTATATCTTTATGTTATCTTTAAAATTACAATTTCGATAGATATATAGATATATTATCATCTTGCATTTGAATAAAACATTAACATAATTATAAATAGTTATATAATTATAACTAAATATATATTTTTAAAATTTTTTTATATCATTAAACTATATATAATTTGTGTATATATTTTATTTAATAGTTACATTATAGAATTATATATTATATATTAAAGAATGTAATAAAAAAAATTATAAGATTAGAAATTATAAATAAAAAATACAATTAATAATCTAATAATAAAAATTAATCATCCGCAATTAAGATTTGAATTGTCAAACATAAATCAATTTGAATAATTCGAAAATATTTAATTTAAGCATTATTCTTTCTCAAACAATTTCTTTTTTTCTAAATATATTTATATTCCATAATTGAAGGAACATATTTCTTTATAAAGTGTTATCATTTGATTATAATAATTATCTATCTGAAATCTTATTATGTTCATTTTTATGGATTGAAGATTTTATTGAAATACTATTTATCAATTATTAATGAGTTTTAAAGCTTCGATTATTTATTACAATCATGTACTCTTATTCGTATTTCTTATTCTATATCTATTTTTATATTACTGTTTATGTAATAAATAACTCATAATGTTTTTCCTTTTTTGTTTCAAAATAATAAATAATAAATATTTAAAGATTAATATTTTTTTTAAATACAATTAAAAAATGATTTATAATTATTACATATTATATTGAATTATATTGAATATTTACATGAATTCCTTTTTATAAAAAAAAGAAAGTATAAAGAACTTATTGTTATATTTATTATTATATATTATTGTATTTATATTATATTATATTTATATTTATATTTATATTTTTTTATACAAATAATTAAATCAACAAATTTTTAAACAAGTTATTCATGAGAATCGATTAAACTTTTTTTGTCTATTTGTAAACATGTAAAGAGACAACTTTAAAATAAATAATCTATTTATTTTAAAGAAAAAACATAAAAATATATAAACTATAAGATAAAAATAATATAATAAAAACAATTAATAAATGGAAGATGAAAATAAGTAGAAATATAATATGGTACAAATATGAAAGCAAAATATTACTTTACTTTTTCGATCTATTTGTTCAATATATAAAAGAGATTAATGATGTGATCACCTCTATAGATCGACAGTCCTTGATCTTTTCAATTAATTCTTGAAAATTACCACTAGAGTATGGAGCTTTACCAAAAAGACATTCGTACATGATCACTCCGACGCTCCATAAATCAACGCGAGCATCGTACTTGCGCTTAAACAAAATTTCTGGTGCCATGTAAAGTGGAGAACCACGAATCGCAAATTTTTGCTCTGAATTTGAAAGATATTGAGCGAAACCAAAATCTAAAATAAAAGAAGTCGTAAAATAAAAATCGTCGAATACTTTAAGCGAATGAAGAAATTTAAATAAATTAAAAAAGAAAAAAAATCCGAAATATAAAACGAACCTCCAACTTTTAATGTTAATTGCGGTTTTCTCATTAGTAATAAGTTTTGTGGTTTTAAGTCCATATGGGAAACATTATTATTGCGTAGATATCTCAAAGCAAGTGCGAGTTGTTGCAAAAATTTACGGCAAATTTGTTCGGGTAGCTTATGTCTCTTCTTTATAAAACTTGATAAGTCACCGCCATCACAGTATTCCATTACAATGTATATGTGCCTGCATTATGCTGAACGATAGATATGTTTTGGTACATGTTCAAAATAATTGGAGGAAATCTTAATCCCCTAATTGTTTTGAACAATAATTGCAAATAATTTATTATTGAATTTATAATAATTATGAATGACCATTAAAAAAACTGAATGACAAACATTGGAATTGTTTACGAATATTTATAAAGCATTAAAGATTGAATAAAAATCTTTGAATTGTTAGTAAAACTCGCTTTTATCAAATCAATCGAAGAATAAAAATATTAATATAAATTTTTATAATTTATTATTTTTTTTCATATCAGATAATATTATAAATAAAGCTTAATCCTGTAATTTCTTTCATATCATAAATAAATATGATAGTTTTGGTATTCATAGTCCTTTTTACAATGGAATCGACATTTAATGGACTAACCCTTCATCCCAAAAAAAATCCCTCATTTCGACGATATTTTCATGACGCAATATTTTTAGTAGATAGATTTCTGTGACGATGTTATCAATAGCTGACTTGGAGAGCGACGATTTGTCTACACGTTTGATTGCGACTATCTCTCGGCATCCATCCTATAAACGACCAACAATAGCATAGCATTAGACTCGCCTTGAGATAAGACTGTTTTCAAGTGTCAACGTGACTATCTTTTTCTGGCTACTTTTCAATTCTACATTAATATATTTGACACAATTCAAGTTCAATCATTGAATTATATTAAAATAAGTTGCTTGACTTGTGATCTGTTGAATGATCTGTAAAATAACGCGATATTTTCTCTCTGAATACGAGTGCAGAGATTAGTGATTCATACAAATATGTGGTTCTAATCATATTAATGGTATAAATAATAATTTTTTTAAAATCATAAAATTTATTTATTAATTAGAATAGATAGAGAATATTCTTGTTTCTCTCTATTATCTTTCTTTGTTCTTTTTTTATTAAAAAATAGATATATCATAAAAAAGTATAAAAAGTATAAAAAAGTGTGAATAATTGAAATTACTTTTATTTTATTAAAATTAAATTAAAATTTATACAATATGTTATATAAATAAGTTG